AGCTATTTCTATGTTTATTGCCCGCCCCACCACGATGTCATTATTTGGTGGCCTATAGACCACACCTATCAGTGACTTCTTCTCCCTGCTATTCCTAATTTCCACCCAAATGGATTCAACCTTTTGTTCAGTAGAACCTATATCATCTCTCACTACCGCCCTGATATCACCCTTAAAAATCAGAGCAACACCACCTCCCTTACCCTCCTGTCTGTCCTTCCAAACAGTTTGATACGCCTGGATATTTAACTCCCAGTCATGACCATGCTGTAACCATGTCTCTGTAATGGCCACTAAATCATACCCATTTGCCATGATTTGCACCGTCAACACATCCACCTTGTTTCGAATGCTCCGAGCATTCAGATAAAGTGCCCTTATGCCAGTTTTTGTACCTTCTTTTTGGGTCCTATTACCTCCATTACTAACAGCTCTTGAGTTCTCCTTCCCTTTAACTTTTTTCCTAATTTTCAATGGAGTTGAAGCTTCCTCGTCACCTGCTAACCTGCTGCTTTGCCTTACATTAATTGTTATTCTCCCCCTCGTCATAGACTCATAGAGTAATACAGCATGGAAACAGGCCCTTCAGCCCAAACTGGTCCATGCTGACCATAGTGCCCACTCAGCTAGTTCCAATTGTCCGTATTTGGTCCATATCCCTCTAAACCCTTCCCATCCATGTAGATATCCAAATGTTTTTTAAATGTTGCTGTTGTACCTGCCTCAACCACTTTCTCTGGCAGCGCATTCCAAATACTCACCACTCTCTGTGTGAAGAAGTTGCCCCTCAGGTCCTTCTTAAATCTATCCCCTCTCACCTTAAACCTATGCCCTCGAGTTTTCAATTCCCCGTCCCTGGGAAAAAGACGATATGCATTCATTCTATCTCTGCCCCTCATGATTTTATACACCTCAATAAAGTCACCTCTCATTCTCCTATATTCTGAGGAATAAAGCCCTATCCTGTCCAACCTTTCCTTATAACTCAGGCCCTACTAGTCCTGGCAACATCCTCATAAATCTTCTTTGCAAACTTTTCAGTTTAACTATGTCTTTCCTATAACAGGGTGACCAAAAGTGTACATAATACTCTAAGTGCAGCCTCACCAACGACTTATACAACTGTAACATAGTGTCCCAACTCCTATACTCAATGCCTCAACCGATGCAGCCAGCATGCTAAATGCCTTCTTCACCACCCTGTCCACCTGTGATGTTGCTTTCAACGAACTATGTACTTGTCCTCCTAGGTTCCTCTGTTCCTCAACACACCTCAGGACCTTACCATTTACTGTGTAAGTCCTACCTTGGTTTGCCTTTCCAAAGTGCAGCACCTCACACTTATCTGTATTGAATTGCATTTGTCAATCGTTAGAGATAGTAGGAACTGCAGATGCTGGAGAATCTGAGACAACAAGGTGCAGGACTGGATGAACACAGCAGGCCAAGCAGCATCATAGGAGCAGAAAGGCTGACGTTTTGGGCCTAGACCCTTCATCAGAAAAGGGGGAGGGGAAGGGGGTTCTGAAATAAATAGGGAGAGAGGGGGAGGCGGATAGAAGATGCATAGAGGAGAGGATAGGTGGAGAGGAAACAGACAGGTCGAAGAGGCGGGGATGGAGCCAGTAAAGGTGAGTGTAGGTAGGGAGTTAGGAAGGGAATAGGTCAGTCCAGGGAGGACGGACAGGTCAAGGGGGTGGGATGAGGTTAGTAGGTAGGAGATGGGGGTGCGGCTTGAGGTGGGAGGAGGGGATTGGTGGGAGAAAGAACAGGTTAGGGAGGCGGGGACGAGCTGGACTGGTTTTGGGATGCGGTAGGGGGAGGGGAGATTTTGAAGCTTGTGAAATCCACATTGATACCATTGGGCTGCAGGGTTCCCAAGCGGAATATGAGTTGCTGTTCCTGCAACCTTCGGGTGGCATCGTTGTGGCACTGCAGGATGCCCAGGATGGATATGTCGTCTGAGGAATGGGAGGGGGAGTTGAAATGGTTCGCGACTGGGAGGTGCAGTTGTTTATTGCAAACCGAGCGTAGGTGTCCTGCAAAGCGGTCCCTCCAAAAATCCACAAACAGGACCGTCCAGGCAGACAGAACAGAACTCATCTCTTCCTACCTTGACTCTGTCTTCTCTCCACTTGGTCCAGTCCCTGCCCACGTACATCTGTGATTCCTCTGACACTTTATACCAGTTTCAGAATTTCCAGTTTGCAGGCTCCAGCCGCCTCCACTTTACCATGGACATGTAATCTCTTTAACCGTCCATTCCCCACCAGGAGGGTCTTAGGGCTCTCCGCTTCTTCCTGGAGCAAAGGCTTGAACCGTCCCCACCCACCACCCTCCTCCGCTTGGCCAAGCTTGTCCTCACCCTCAACAACTTCTCTTTTAATTCCTCTCATTTTCTTCAGGTAAGAGGGGTCGCCATGGGTACCCGCATGGGCCCTAGTTCTGCCTGTCTCTTTGTGGGGTACGTGGAACATTCCTTGTTCCAGTCCTATTCCGGTCCCACCCACAACTCTTTCTCCGATACATCGATGATATCATCGGTGCTGCTTCCCTCTCTCGTCTGGAATTGGAAAAGTTCATTGATTTTGCTTCCAATTTCCACCCTGCCCTCACTTTCACCTGGTCTATCTCTGATTCCTCCCTTCCCTTCCTCAACATTTCTGTTTCCATTTCTGGAGATAGACTGGCCACTAATATCCATTACAAACCCACTGACTCCCACAGCTACCTGGACTATACATTCTCACACCCTGATTTCTGTAAAGACTCCATCCCATTCTCTCAGTTCCTCCATCTCCGTCACATATGTTCCAATGAGGCCAACTTTGACAAAGAAGCCTCCAAAATGTCCACCTTCTTCTTCAACCGAGGACTCCCCAGCACCGTTGTCAACAGGTCCCTCAACCAGGTCTGACCCATCTCCCGCACTTCAACCCTCACCCCATCTCTTCCCTTCCACAGCAGTGATAGGGTTCCCCTTGTCCTTACCCACCAACCCATCAGCATTCACATCCAGAAGATCATCAGACGCTACTTCCGCCACCTCCAGCGAGATGCCACCACCAGACACATATTCCCCTCCCCTCCCTTATCTGTCTTCCGCAGGGACCGTTCCCTCTGGGACACCTTGGACCACACTTCCTTCACACCTAAACACCCCCACACCCCCACAGCACATTCCCCTGTAACCAGCGAAGGTGCAACACCTGCCCATTTACCTCCTCCCTCCTCAGTATCCAAGGGCCCAAACATACCTTCCAGGCTCACCTGCACTTTACCTGCAGTTCATACAATCTAGTCTACTGCATTCTCTGCTCACAATGTGGTCTCCTCTACATTGGGGAAACGAAGCGTAGACTTGGCGACCTGCTCACAAAAAAGATCCTGAGCTTCTTGTTGCCTGCCACTTTAATACACCACCCTGTTCCCTGACCAATACCTCTGTCTCTGGCTTGCTGCAGTGTTCCAGCAAAATTCAGCACAAGCTGGAAGAACAACACCTCATTTTCCGCTTGAGGACCCTGTAGCCCTCTGGACACAATATTGAGTTCAATAATTTTAGGGCCTAAACTCTCCTATGTCCCAGCTCCCCCACCCCACACTCCAGGCCTTGTTATCACATAGCCTGCCATTACACACCCCCTGTTGTTAGTAACTAACAGTCCCCATTAAAAACTACTCACCCTCCCAGCCGGATTGTTACCAATTCTTTGTCTGTCCAACATTTCTTCTCTCTCTTTGGGCTCTATCCCCACCTATTGTTTACACCCTCCCCGCACCCTATCTTCTGCATATAAACCGACATTTCCCTAGCTACCAACAGTTCTGAGGACGGTCACCAGACCTGAAACATTAACTCTGATTTCTCTCCACAGATATTGCCAGACATGCTGAGCTTTTCCAGCAATGTGTGTAATTGTTTACCTTATAGCTCCAAGGAGCCCGAGTCGGAGAACTTCAGGCTGCATGTGCCCAGGGTTGAGAGCATCGTAAAAGTTGGTGTCACGGTATCTTAGGAAGGTACTGGCTTGGCCGGATCGGTCAATAATGAGTGGCCACCTGAAACACAATGGTGACTTTGAAGAGAGGCCCACAATTAGGGGAGTGCGATGAGCATACTGTTCAAAGTGAATGTTTCACAGGAATACTGCTGCATGAGGAGGTGTCTTTTACACAGTGCCACTGCAGAGCTAGCCATTTGTCTCCTTGGAGAACAAATCACTGAGTTCCAAATGGTCCCACTCTAAGCCTGTAGCACTGCATATTTACTTCCTTCAAAGTTCCATCCCAATTCCTTTAGCAACCATTCATTGTCTCCATTTCTGCATTCTACTTGGGTTGCTAAAGAATTGGCACTCTCCTCCATACGCAGTAAAAATGCTGTTTCCCTTTACATTGCTTCTTTAGTATTCATTTACAGGATGTGGCCTTCAATGGCTCATCCAGTTTTTGTTACCCATCCCATGGCTAACCCACATACTATGGACAATGTAACATGGCTAATCTACATATCTTTGGACTGTGGAATGAAACCAGAGCAAATCCACACATACACAAGAAGAACATGCAAACTCCACAGAGAGCATCACTTGATGCTGGGATTGAACCCAGGTCCCTGGTGCTGTAAGGCAGCAGTGCTAACCACTGAGCCACCATGCCACCATGCCACCAATTCAACTCCACTTTCCTGCCCAGTTTCCATAAGCTTTCAATCCATTTGTCACTAAAAATCTGTCTGCCTCCTCCTTAAATTTATTCAATGTCCCAGCATCCACCGCACTCTGAATTTGATTTGGTTTGATTTATTGTCACGTGTACCTAAGTGCAGAGAAAAGCTTTGTCTACGAGCAGTACAGGCAGATCATAGTAAGCAAGGACATTAAGATCATAGATTGAAAAAAACTTAGAGTAAGGCATGCAGGTTACACGGCTAGGCAAGATCAACATTAACAAGATCAGCATTAAAAAGATCAACATTATTTGAAGTTAGAGAGTTCATTCATCAGTCTAATAATGGCAGGGAAGAGCTATCCTTGAACTTGCTGGTGTGTGTGTTCAAGCTTCTGTATGGAAGAAATTGTAGGAGCTCATTACTGGGGTGCGATGGGTCTTTGGTGATGTTGGCCACCTTTCCCCAGCAGCGAGCCGTGTAAATAGAGTCCATGGATGGAAGGTTGCCTCCTGTGATGGTCTGGGCTGTGTACACCACCTTCTGTAATTTCTTACGGTCCTGAGCAGAGCAGTTGCCGTACCAGGCCGTTATGCACCCGGACAGCATGCTTTCAATGGTGCATCTGTAGAAGTTGGCGAGGGATCTTGCGGACATGTCAAATTTCCTGAGCTGCCTGAGGAAGAAGAGGCGTTGTTGTGCCTTCTTCACTGTCATATTTACTTGGGAAGTCCAGGACAGGTTGTCAGTTATCGACACTGAGGAACTTGACGCTCTCCACCCTTTTGTGAATTCTTCATGAATTCCACAGATTCATGACCCTTTGAGACAAGTAATTCTTCCACATCTTTGTTTCAAATCTGCCAGCCCTTATCCTAAAACTATGACTTCTCATTCCAGATTGCCCAACATGAGGAAATATCCTCTCTACATCTACTTTGTCAATCCCCTTTAGCATCTTATCGACCTCAAATTAGATTTCTTCTCATTCTTGTAAACTTCGGACAGAATAGGCCTAAACTGCTCAATCTCTCTTCATAACACCTGAAGAAGGAGCGAGGCTCTGAAAGCTTGTGTTTTCTGTTGGATTATAACCTGGTGTCATGTGATTTTAGACCCTCTCTTCATAAGACAAACCTCTCTTCTCTTGGAGGAGAACTTACAGGCAATGGAGTTCCAATGTATCTATCGCCTTTGTCCTTCCAGATGGTAGATACTGTGATTGTGGAAGGGCTAGTCTGAGGAGGCCCTTGGTGAATTTCTGCAGTACATTTTGAAGACTTTTTAAATTCATTCACGGGATGAGGGCGTCGCTGGCCAGGCAGCATTTAGTGCCCATCCCTAATTGCCCAGAGGGCAGTTGAGAGTCAACCACATTGCTGTGGGTCTGGAGTCACATGTAGGCCAGACCAGGTAAGGATGGCAGTTTCCTTCCCTTAAGGACATTAGTGAACCAGATGGGGTTTTACAACAATTGGCACTGGATTCACGGTCATCATCAATCTCTTAATTCCAGATTTCTTTTTATATGAATTCAAATTCCAGATTTGAACCCAGGTCCCCAGAACATTAGTCAATTCAGTGTGAAGCTGGAGGAACACAGCAAGTCAGGCAGCATTGGATGAGCAGGAAAGTTGATTCGTTTTGGGTCAGGACCCTTCATCAGGACTTGGGAGGGGGAGGGAAGCTGGGAAATAAATGCAGGAAGGAGGGGTGGGGCTGGGGGAAGGTAGGTGGGATGGTGATAGGTAGATGCAGGTGGGGGTAGTAGGCATTAGTCAGTGGGAAGAGTGGGCAGATAGGTGGGAAAGATGATATACAGGTTGTGTCAGGTCAAGGAGGTGGGGATAAGAGGGAGGTTTGGACATGGGATGAGGCGGGGGGTGGCGAGATTTTGAAACTGCTGAATTCTATGTTCAGGCCATTGGGCTGTAGGCTTCTGAGGCAGAATATGAGGTGTTGTTCCTCCAGTTTGCGGGTGGTGTGATTGTGACACTGGAGGAGGCCCAGGATTTCCCTCCCCACCCCTATATGCCTTTCATAGGGACCACTCACTCTGTGACTTCCTTTACCACTCCACACTCCCCACTAACCCCACCACCTTTCCCTGCAACTGCAGGAAGTGCTACACCTGCCCCTACACCTCCCCCCTCACCCCCATCCAAGGCCCAAGACAAACTTTCCAAATCCGACAGGGGTTCACCTGTACATCCTCCAACCTGGTCTACTCTATCCATTGCTCCCGATGTGGCCTCCTCTACATCAGTGAGACCAAGCGCAGACTCGGGGACCAATCTGCGGAGCACCTATGCTCAGTACACCATAATCAACAACGCCTTCCGGTTGCCAACATTTTAACTTCCCCTCCTACTCCCTCGGTGACATGTCCATCCTGGGCCTCCTCCAGTCTGAACTTAGAATGGATGGAATATCATTGATGATGCAGCTGAAGATGTTTGCGTCTAAGACATTATGTTGAAGAACACATGGTTTGATGCCGTGGATCTTAAGTGACTGGCCTCCAACAATCACAACCATCTTTCCTTGGGCCAGGAATGACTCCATGTAGCAGAGAATTTTCCCCCTGATGCTCATTGATTCCAGTTTTGCTCGGGCTCCTTGATGCCACACTCGGTCGAATACAGCCTTGATATCAAGGGCTGTCACTCCCACCTCACCTCTGGAATTCAGCTGTTTTGTCCATGTTTGAACCAAGGCTGTAATGAGGTCAGGAGCTGAGTGGCCCTGGCGGAACCCAAACTGGGCGTCACTGAGCAGGTTATTGCTGAGCAGGTGCTGCTTGATAGCGCTGTTACTGACACCTTCCATCACTTTACTAACTGAACAAAATCACTTCCAACTTAAGACACAAATATGATCACTATTCTCATCAAAGCTCCCTCCCTATCAGATTATTCATTACCACTTTTTCATTGCACAATAATAGAACACTTCATGTCTGAACATAGTGTCTTTGTATCGATTGTAACAAGGTCAGCCAGGTGGACCTCATACAATAGGAGCTCCCTGATTGGGGCTGTTAACCGGGTCTAATCAGAGAGCCCTGTCTGACAGATAGAAATAGGAGTGTACACAATGGTGTCTCTTTACTGTGTCACTACACATTCACACGCAGCCACGGGTGAAAATATAAGCATCATCGCTGGGTCCCCTTTGGCTGCAGTGGGAGAAGTTTTAAAAAAAAGAAAAAATAAATAAACAGGAGATTCAGAGAGCCTCCTCAATTTAGGGGAATAAAAACAGGCATTTCAGAGATGCCACTCAATCTAGGGACTGGCTCTGAGCTAGCTGGTCAGAGTCCATGCACTGTGCACATGTAAATAAAGGGTGACTAGATGGCAGGATGTAGGCCTCTATGCAGTTATGTCAATTATACAATGTCAATTTAAAAAAGTGAAAAAAACCAGGAATGTCAGAGGGTCTGTTCACTCTGGGATTTGGCTCTGAGGAAGCCAATCTAGTGTCAAGTACAATGCACATGTACATAAAGGGTGGCATGGTGACCGGATATTGGCCTCTGTGGAGTTATTTCAGTGACATCGAGAGAAAGAAATAGGCTCCTGAAGGAATTCGCTCGCAACAGTTATCTTTGAGTTGGGTAAGCATTTCTGGCATCATGCCATTATTTGGAAAGCTTGACTCATTTGTTCCTGCCAACCAAGACTGGGTCCAGTATGTAAAAAGAATGCATTGTTTTACAGACAAACGGCATTGGGGTAGATGAAAAGCAACAAGTAATTCTCCTGACAGCTTGTGGACCCGCAGCATTTTCGGTTATTAGGAGCCTAACATTTCCTGAGGCACCAGATACTAAACCTTTCAAGAGTTGACAGATTTAGTTAAGGAATATTATGACCCCAAGCTACCTCTAATTCTGAAACACTATCGGTTTTACTCAGCGGTTCGAGAACCAGGGGAATCTGTGTCAGGATTTTTGGCGAGGTTAAAATGACTGGCAGAGGCATGTGACTTTGGTTTAACCTTGAATGAGATGCTGAGAGACCACTTGGTATGCGGGACCATTGCTGTAACCATGCAGAAGCACCTACCAGCTGAAGCCCAACTGGACTTCAAACAGGCACTACAACTGGCTTTGTCATTGGAAAATGCAGCAAGTGGAGCATATCAGTTGAAAACAACAAATGCTGGAGATCATGGCAAGTCAGACCACATCCATGGAGAGAAAGGAAGCCAATGTTTCAAGTCTAGATGACTCTTCATCAGAGCTACAGGGTAATCCGATTGATCTTGGGGGAACCCCACTTGAGTGAAGGCAGTTGCATAGCCTCACTCAGGACATATTGTGAACAGAGGGACTCTAGGTCAGCCCACAGCAAAACCCTGAAAGAAAGCCAAGCCTCAGCCCATATGGTTAACATTTCCTTCAGGATCCTGGCCAGTAAGCCATTGTAGTTGCTGCTGGAACAGACTCTGGGCAGCAAAGGAGTCCCACTAGGCCTGAATTGAGTAAGAGAATTCACAGGTCAGTGTCCAGGAGATTACACACCCTGAAAAGTCCACCCACATCTGGTTTGGAATAGATAGATTGCTTAACAGCTTCCAAATCAGAACCAATCAAAATAAATGTCTAGTTAAATGGTCACCATGTTCTAATGGAGGTTGATCCTGGCATGGCTGTATCAGTGCTTGCAGAACCAGTCTTTACCAACATTCACACTGGATTCCAGCCCTTAAGTTTGCCTAAGAACTTGGCTAGGCTGGGAACCTACCCCGGGGAACCTTTACAGATTAAGGGGACAACTACGGTTCCAGTCTCATATGAGAAGCAGCTGGTTCAGTTCCCACTGATTGTAGTAAAAGACTCAGGCCCAAGCTTGATGCAGCAAAATTGTTGGGAAAGATTCACATTGATTGGCTCAACATTTTTCGTTTAGAAAATGGCTGCCTGAGTGAAGTCCAAATTAAAGACCCGGAAGATTTTCAGCAAGATCTAGGGGCTGTTAAAGGAGCCATGGCCACCTTGCATGCTGACCAGGAAGCAATTCCATGAATCTGCAAGACCCGCCAAGTGCCATCTGCCTTACGGGCAAAATAGAGGCAGAAATCAAGAGGTTGGAAAGTGAAGGGATCATCAAATCAGTCCAGTTAGCGGAATGGGCAGCACTGATCGTGAAGCACGATGGGTTGGTTTGCATTTGTGGGGATTTTAAACAAGCGGTGAGCCATTTTTCGCAGCTGGATAAATACCCAGTCCCTGGTTTGGAGGACCAACAGCAAAGCTGGCAGGGGGACTGTCTTTCATGAAGCTGGACATGAGCCATGTATACCTGCAATTGTGACGAGATGAGGAGTCCTAGAAGTATGCTACAATTGATTTCCATATGGGTTTGTACCAATATACGAGATGCCTTCGGGCTATCATCAGCCTGTGCCATTTTTCAGCCGCTAATGGAGAACATTTTACAAGGTCTTCCTCAGGTCACCGTTTATCTAGCAAGGGGAGGCAATGGCCTAGCAGTATCATCACTGGACTGTTAATCCAGAGACTCAGGTAATGTTCTGGGGACCTGGGTTTGAATCCCACCATAGAACATAACAGCGCAGTACAGGCCCTTCGGCCCTCGATGTTGCGCCGTCCTGTGAAAACCAATCTGAAGCCCATCTAACCTAAACTATTCCATTATCATCCA